TCACATTGTGTGAAATTCTGATACCGGACAGAGACTCATGGAACAGCGGAACACTAGCACATATGCCTCCGGGAAACTGTTGTTACACGGATGGCTCCCGGCTAGCGGGAAAGACGGGACTGGGACTTTTTATTGAAGAACCGGGGACTGAAATCTCACTTCGCCTGCCAGATCACAACACGATCCTACAGGCGGAGGTTCAAGCTATAACGGAGTGTCTAAAATGGCTAAGCTCTAACTCTGGGCATAATAACATAAATATCATGACAGATAGTAAACATGCTATTAATGCAATAACATCCAAAACAGTTACATCAAAAACTGTACTGGAATGCATAAAAACAATAAACAACTTCTCACGACACGGTCTTGTACGTATAATATGGGTACTGGGTCACTCAGGAGTCATAGGAAACGAGATAGCGCTTCACGTCTAGAAATGAGGTCATGGGCGAAAGAGGCGCACAAAACACTCTGGAATAACGAGAGGATTGGAAAAAACACAAAAATCTTATGGGGAGACCCAAATGAGGATAAGACTAAGCAAATACTTACGCTAAACAAGAAAGAACTAAGCAGACTGATAGGCATTCTGACAGGACACCTTAACCTGCAGTCACATTTACACAAGATTGGGTGTTCGGGAAGCAGCAGGTGCAGAGCGTGTGGGGAAGACAACGAAACGTTGGAATATTTCCTATGCCACTACCCGGCTTTTGCATGCATCCGAACCCAATTCTTGAAAAACGACACTATTCCTGAACTTAATGACCTAAGGGGGTGTGAATGGAAAACACACTTCTGTAAAAATACAGAATTCCTAGAAGAATAGGGAGACCAAACAAAAATCTAAGAAAAATGCCAATCTAAATACCTTTCCTTCCTAGAGCGCACAAAAGGCCTCCACTCTATGGCTTAAGTGTATGTCCCACAATGGACATGTGGTGGTCTCAACCACCCCTCTTTTCAAACTAACTAACTATTTAACACAAAGATTTCAATTTCATGTATGGTTTGAATGGAATCTAAATTGAAAGAGTAATAGCAAATATTATTTAAAAATCGTCATCTTTTTTATTAAAACATTTATTGAAATCCATGTCGTAAATAAATTAGTACTTGATGATAGGCTCTTCGTAAGTAGTCTTATCTCTTGTAAATATATTTATATATATATATATATATATATTTGAAATAGTAAGAAAAAAGTCTTTGAAAAATATTCTCTGCTAAATACAAATTTGAAAATTTATTCTTCAAAAACTCACGTTTTTTTTTCGCTGATATGGCCTTACAATTATTCTTTAAAATCCAGGTAGTATTTCAAATCTTAATTGGTATTAAAGTCATTTGAAAAATATTCTTTCAAAAATCCTTGGTAATGTCTGAAAATTCTTTGAAAAATATTGTTATACTAGCAAAGTGCCCGCTACTTCGTATGCGGAAAGGGAATACAAAAAAATTTTTCATATGGAAATCGTGAATACTAGCTATACATCTTCAATATATATACAATTAGAACTAAATTTAGTAAAGTTTAGTACTTTTCGTACACTTTTAGTTCGAATTTTCAAACCCCCTTTTGTACATCTTTCTAACTTTCCATCAGTGACCCACATTTCAAATTTCAGAATTCTAGCTCTTCCCGTTCGCCTAATACAAAGGGTACCATATTTGGTACATTTTAGTACTTTTCGTACCCTTCTAGTTCGAATTTCCAAAAACTCAGCCTTATCTCACGCCTACACACCAAGAACAACCCACACTCAAAATTTCAAGCTTCTAGCTTCAGCCGTTTCGTCTGGGCGATGATCTGTTAGTCACTCACTCACTCACTTAACACTAAGCTCTTTTATATATTGTTTTATAAATTTACGCGTATCAGTCGGAAAGACCTTTGAAATATATTACTTCAATAGTACACGCTTATTGGTCCGAAAGTCATTTGAAAAATTTCTTATAAGTATGTGGTTAAGTACTCATTTGTGGTTAAGATGAACCTCTAATATAAATTTTTAAGGGGACCCCCCATTCTCGGGGTCAACAATTTTTTTGATTTAATTCGAATCTACACTAATTCAAGAATGTCCCTAACAAATTTCAAGTGAAAATCTCAAGAACTCTTGAAGATATAGCCGATTTATTGTGTCAGCATCAAATGACGGCTAATGGGCTTCTCAAACTTTAAACGCGTTTTTCTCTTTTGCGAATGGCGGGCACGATAACTCAAAAACTAATAACCCAATCGATTCCAAATTTTTACACGTTTCTCTGTGAGTGTATATCTATGGTATGAACTAGGATAAAGCCAATCGGTGAAGATCTTCTTTATTTATTAACTTGGTTTTTGGTCAAAAATCGGCGATTTTCCAAAAATATTTTTTTCAAAGGTGCGCCATTTTGTTAATTTTAGAGCGAAGTCAATAATCCTAGTTCATACGAGAGCCAGACATGTACTCTTTCTAACACCGTTGGAATTTTCGGATTCCGATGTTCCAGTGAGGAAATAAGGACATCAAAAATAAAGACTTTTCTTTAATCACAAAAAACAACAACAAAAATTGTTTGTAAATTATTTTTCTTCCTTTTTATACCCTCCACCATAGTATGGAGGGTATATTAATTTTGTCATTCCGTTTGTAACACATCGAAATATTCATTTCCGACCCTATAAAGTATATATATTCTTGATCAGGGTAAAATTCTAAGACGATCTAGCCATGTCTGTCCGTCTGTTGTAATCACGCTATCTTCTGAAGGAATTGAGATAGGGTGCTGAAATTTTGCACAAAGTTGTCTTTTGTCTGCAGGCAGGTCAAGTTCGAAGATGGGATATATCGGTCCACGTTTAGGCATAGCTCCCATATAAGGGTTCTTATTGGGTAGCAAATATCCCCACTAAAAATTATAAATATAGGTCCATTTTTTCGGACAGCCCCCATGTAAGAGTACCCCCCAAATTTCGGTATTTTGAGGTTCTTGAGCGTGTTTTCCAACAGAATTCGCTGAAATTTGGTACTTTGAGTTCTTATTGGGTACCAAATAAACCTACTAAAAATTATAAATATAGGTCAATTTTTTCTGGTACCCCCCATATAACGGTACCCCTCAATTTTCGGTATTTTGGGGTTCTTGATCGCGTTTTTTAACCGAATTCGCTGAAATTTGCTACATTGGGTTCCTATTGGGTACTAAATTTCTCTACAAAAAATTATGAATATAGGTCCACTTTTTCTGGTGGTCCCCATATAACGGTACCTTCTAATTTTCAGTATTTTGGGGGTTTTGATCGTATTTTCCGCCGAATTAGCTGTAATTTAGCATTTTGAGTTCTTAATAGGTACCAAATCTCCTTACAAAAAATTATGAATATAGATCCATTTTTTCGGATAGCCCCCATATAAGGTTCGATAATGAACTATAGCCGCATTTAGACCTAGCCCCTGTGTGGAGGTACCAGAAGAAGTGGACCGATATTCCCCAGGGGGGGGGGGGGGGGGGGGGGGGGTACCTCGATTCAAAATTTGGTTTGTGTTCGACATTCAATTGTGGCCTATATATAGATCGACTCGAAAAAACACAAAAAATAAGTTTTTGGTCCAATTCATCCCAAAATTATTATCCGATCATCACCGAAAATTGTAGCCGTTGTCCCTGACCATTCCTGGATCCTCATGGAAAATTTAAAAGCGATCAGCGCGCTATATTTTCGCCCTCTAGTGTGGTAATGTGGTACTAAATAATATATGAATGCATAAGCACATGTAAATATGTAAGTGTAACTCCCACATCCGAGTACATACTACAATATAATTGGTATCAATTTGAAGGTCAAACACTCCTCTTGGATATACTATCAATTTACCGGATCTATGTCCTTCAGGAGTAAATATATACCCTCTAGAATACAAATTTTGTAATTTTTCATACAAAAGTAAGGGTCCATTTGACCCGCTAAATATTGACCGATCTTTATAAAAACAGGCATGCTTATTCTTTACCCCGATCCCCTTCTCCATGTAAAAATTCGCGATGTTTGGGCCATTATTGCGGCCTCTGGAGCGACCAGAAAAACAGACAAAAATTAAGTATTTGGTCCATTTCACCCCTAAATATTAACCGATCTTTGCCAAAAACAATGGGGGTCTTCATTGGGCCGAACCCATCCTACATGCAAAATTTCGTGAAGATAGGTTCATAACTGTGGCCTGTATCGTGTTTACAAATTATAATGGACAGGCGAACAGACGGACGGACGGACACACATGTCTAGATCGACTCAGCTAGTCGAGATATGACGATCGGTATACTTAAAGGTGGGTCTAGGATCAATATTTCGTGGCGTTACAAACTCTTGGGGCTGCACAAAGCTATAATACCCTGACAACATAGTTGTGTAGGGTATAAAAAGAAATTTTTAAATTAGAAATATTTTCAAGTGCAAGTATTTATGTTGTAATATATTTTTTGTTGCACACTTCCATTGTTCCGATTATACATACTCGTAGACTAATGACGTCTTATCAATACCCAAGTGCCGATGCCTTGGTGACCCTGAAAAGAGTTTTTTGGAAGCTATGGCATTGGGTTGCGTTTAAGCAAACTTTGTGATAAGCCTATTTCAATATATCTGAATCTGAAATGTTTGGTAATTCAAATTAATTTAAAAAAATCCACGACTTTTGATAGCCTTTGATTTTTTCGGCTTTCATAAAAATTAACTTAATATACGAAATATCCGACCATTTGAGCGTAAGTAAGGGCCTACGTTTTTTAACCAACCTCGTATATCAATTGTCCAGTGGGAGAAAGCAAATACAGGCTCAATTCTTTGATAAGGTGTGACGTTTGCAAAAGGCGATAAGACCGGCATTTCAGTTTTTGATAGTATTTTGTGTTTGTTGATTTAATAAATTTTTACATACAGATTTCAAAAAAAAAAAAAATGATTAAAATTTAAATTTCAGTTGTGATTTTGAAATCAAAACAAACGGGACGCAATGAGATTTTGGTTTTGCGCGGTAAATGAATTTCTTAAACCAAGTTTTATAAAAAAACTGAAATATTTCCCTCATTGTTTCAGTTACTGGGATTATATTTCTTCCCCACCATTTGGGCTGAATGTTTAAGTGAGTCATGTGCCCAACAGCTTATGGAGACGCTGGATATGAAATATCATCAAACGGCAAAGAAATTGAGTTTATATCCCGATTTCGAGGTGGGAGCGGAAGTGGCACTGCGTAATGACCTACTACCGCTTTTGGCATCAATGCGAAAATTCGATTGGCAAAATTTTGCAGATCCTCTGCTAAAGCGACAATTTGAAATATTATTACGAGATCTAAAATATCCCGAAATTTCAATGAAATTCCGGAGACACACTTACATTTTGAGAACAGTGGGAAAACAAAAATTCACCTGCGATCGTAGCAGGCCCAACAAATGTAAATTGATATCCTATATACGACACATAAAACCGATTATTACCAATAGCAATGATCCCGATGAAATAAAGTGGTATTGGCGTGAGTGGCGCAATCATCTGCCAGATGAAATTAAAAATGCCTTGAATTTCTATGTAGATTATTATCTAAATTTGTCAATGGAAGCTTCGGCAAGGCCATCAGCCATTTGGTATGAACGTTATGATAATCCGAATTTTCTCGAAAATTTGGAAGAATATATGAAAACAATTGAACCGCTTTACAGAGAATTACATGGCCATTTGAGAGAAGCTTTAAGGATGAAATATGGACCTGAAGTAATACCTCCTTCAGGTTTGATACCCCACCACTTTTTAGAACAGGCTCTCTATCAGTCGTGGAAGAAAGAATCGATTTTAGAAAATCCTTATCCGCATAAGAAAATGCCCAACCTCTTACCGGAGCTCAGAGGGAAGAGATGGAAACCAATGGATTTAATCGAGATGAGTGGTGGATTTTTTGAATCTATGGGTTTTCCAGCATTTTCGGAGTAAGTAAATCAAGGGATTTCTTTAAGAATATTTTTTTAAAGGACTATAAAAAGGTGTGTAATTTTTTTTATACCCTTCACGACACTGTGGTACAGGTTATTATGTCTTTGTGCATATGTTTGCAACAGGCAAAAGGAAACGAGATAGACACATAGTTCCTTTTGAGAATATGCATAGAATCACTTTCGATTTACGCATGTCCGTCTATATATAGCTCCCATATATATTTTCGTCCGATTTAATGTAAATTGAGTACCAATATCCCTATATATCTTTCGATTTGCACGAAATTTGGCATAGTGTAATGAATTAGGTCTAGACTGATGTTTGTCAAGTTTCTTGAAAATCGGTCCAAATTTAGATATAGCTCACATAAATATTTTCGTGCGATTTAATGCAAATGGTGCAGCAAAGTCAATATATATCTTTCTATTTGCACGGCATAGCGTAATGAATTAGTTCTAGAATGATGTATGTTAAATGTAACCAAAGTGATGAAGGGTATCATATAGTCGGCCCCGTCCGACTATATTACATTCCTTACTGGTTTAAATATAGCTCAAGGACAATCAGCAGGGTTGGATTTTTGAAGAAAAAAAATCTAAAAGACTGCTGTTGGTATTGGACTTTTTAAAAATATTTTCAGAAGGACTTTAAAAAGACGTAGATTTTTTAAAAAAAATGTTCTCAAGGACTACCAACAGTTGTGGTTTTTTGGAAAATATTTTCTCAAAGAATATCATCAAGCGTGGATTTTTTTTATAACATTTTATTAAGAACTATCATCAGAGATGAGATTTTTTAAATATTTTTTGAAATATTAGTTTCTATAATTCGTTTATTTTTTAGAGAACTAAAACGTGATCACTTTTACGAAATTGAAGAGCACAAGGCGGGTCCGGAATGCAAATCGTATATTTATACACATGGTGAAATCGAGCTGAATTATTGTCCGAAAGTTAATTACAAAAAACTACTCACAACTCATGGCGATATAGCCCATGTCGAATATGCACTTTTGAAAAATAACCTAACTGTGGGATTGAATCGAGAAGCTTGTCCTGGTTTTGGAAATGCAATAGCTGAGGCGGTAATACTTTCCGCATCAACACCCAAACACTTGCAACAACAATTGCACCTCTTGACCGAATACAATTACGACGATGAAATGAATTTGAATTTTTTGTTTCGAATGGTATGACATGAAGATTTTTTTTTTTTTTGTATTTTTAACATTTATTTAAACATTAATCGTACAGGCTGTCCATGCCCTGCTGTCCATACCTATGTATTTTGTACATGAGAAACTTTGGATTGATATAATCGATGGGAATACTAAACCTGCGGAATACAATTGCCACTATTGGAATCTTATGGCAAAGTATATGGGTGTGGGTCCAGCGGAGGAACCAACAGATCCCATGGTCTATGATATGCCCCATAGATTCTATGAGGGCTTGGTTGAGGAGACCCGTAGCACTAGGTATTGTGAAATATATTTTGAAAATGTTATCAGTTAAAGCATATTTCCCCCTTTCAGAAAACTTTTTGGAGAATTTTTGGGTTATCAAATTTATCGTGACTTATGCTTGGAAATTGGAGAATATAATCCTGGTGATAATGAAAAGTCTTTGTTCAAATGTGATTTTGCAGGTAACCACAAGGCTGGAGATATCCTCAGGTAATTAATTGGGAATTGCGATACTTTCTGATCGCTAACTTAATTTTGAAATTTTGTTTGCTATAACCCAGGAAAATGATGTCCGCTGGAGCTACAAAAACCTGGCAAGAAATTGCCAATGTCACAAAGTTGGATGGCTCTGCTTTTTTGGATTATTATGCCCCACTTAAAACATGGATAACTGGTGAAAATATGGCCAACAACATAACTGTGGGTTGGCAATCACGTGATCGTAAGTACTAAAGTATTGAATTTTAGAGAAAAGTTAAATAAGGAATTTGTCATTATTCCAGATTGTACCGATTCGCAGATAAATCAGAATGCCGTTTAAAGGGAATTTATATGTTTTAAATAAATTTATAAACAAATTTTAAAATCCAATTTGGAATTCTTTCACATATTTTCTGAAGGACTATTTACAGTCTAGGTTTTTTTCAAATATTTTCTGAAGAACCGGAGTGGATTTTTTTATACCCTTCACCACACTGTTGTACAGGGTATTATGTCTTTGTGCATATGTTTGTAACAGGCAAAAGGAAACGAATTAGACACATGGTTCCTTTTGAGAATATGCAGAGAATCACCTTTTAAGTCGATTTAGCCATGTCCATCCGTCCGTCCGTTCGTCTTTCTATCCTATATATATTTTCGTCCGATTTTAGGTTTATTGTGCTCCCATATATCTTTCGATTTGCAGGAAATTTGGCACAACGTACTGAATTCAGTCTATAATGATGTGTGCCAAGTTTCGCGAAATCGGTTTAGATTTCTATATAGCTCCCTATATATATTTTTTCGTCCGATTTAAGGTAATTATTGGTGTACCAATTTCCCGATATATCTTTCGATTTGCACGAAATTTGGTACAACGTACTAAACTGAGCCTAGAATGATGTGTGCTAAGTTTCGTGAAAATCGGTTAAGATTTAGATATAGCTCCCATATATCTTTTCGTCCGATTAAAGGTACATGGTGCACCAAAGTCCCTATATATCTTTCGATTTGCACGAAATTTGGCACAACGTACTGAATTCAGTCTAGAATGATGTGTGCCAAGTTTCGTGAAAATCGGTTTAGATTTAGATATAGCTCCCATATATATTTTCGTCCGATTAAGGGTAAATAGAGCACCAAAGTCCTTAAATATCTTTCGATTTGTACGAAAATTAGCACAACGTACTGAATTCAGTCTAGGAAGATGTGTGCCAAGTTTTGTGAAAATCGGTTAAGATTTAGATATAGCTCCCATATATATTTTCATCCGATTTAAGGTACATGGTGCACCAAAGTCCCTATATATCTTTCGATTTGCACGAAATTTGGCACAGCCTACTGAATTGAGCCTAGAATGATGTGTGCCAAGTTTCGTGAAAATCGGTTCAGATTTAGATTTAGCTCTCATATATCTTTTCGTCCGATTTATTGTAAGTGGTGTACCAAAGTCCCTACATATCTTTCGGTTAGCACGAAATTTGGCACAGCCTACTGAATTGAGCCTAGAATGATGTGTGCCAAGTTTCGTGAAAATCGGTTCAGATTTAGATTTAGCTCCCATATATCTTTTCGTCCGATTTATTGTAAGTGGTGTACCAAAGTCCCTACATATCTTTCGGTTAGCACGAAATTTGGCACAGCCTACTGAATTAAGCCTAGAATGATATGAGCCAAATTTCGTGAAAATCGGTTCAGATTTAGATATAGCTCCCATATAAATTTTCGTCCGATTTAAGGTAAATGAAGCACGAAAGTCCCTAAATATCTTCCGATTTGCACGAAATTTGGCACACCCTACTGAATTAAGCCTAGAATGATGTGTGCTAAGTTTTGTGAAAATAGGTTTAGATTTAGATATAGCTCCCATATATCTTTTCGTCCGATTTAAGGTACATGGTGCACCAAAGTCTCTATATATCTTTTGATTTGCACGAAATTTGGCACAACGTACTGAATTCAGTCTAGAATGATGTGTGCCAAGTTTCGTGGAAATCGGTTCAGATTTAGTTATAGGGGCATTTTTTTAAAAAATATTTTCTCATCAACAGGCGTGGATGTTTAAAAAAAAATTTCTCCAGAAGTGGATTTTTAACAAAATTATTTTCTCCAGACGTGGATTTTTTTAAAAAATTATTTTCTTAAGACGTGGATTTTTTTTAATGTTTTTCAATGACTATCAACAGGAGTGGATTTTTAAAATATATTTTTTCAAGGACTATCAACAGGCAGGGACTTTTGTGTGTGGGTCCCATTGAAAACTTCATAGTACTTTTTTTTCTCGTATACGAATATTTTAGATTGTCATTTCTGTAAAAAAAATATTTTATATTTTTATTTCACTAACAAATTTCTTTTTTGTCAAAACCCAAATGAATCCCAAAGACGTTCTAATGAAGGCCGTTCATTGTGAGCGTGACAAACGTTTGCTACAATCGCAACACTACTATCAACTGGGCCTTGAACTGTTAAGGGAATTTCTTCACATCGAAAGAAATTCAAAGATTGCAAAACGATATTACGAACACATTGGCCAATATATTCAACGATCCAAAAAAGTAGACCGTCAAATAGCTCAACTTTTAAAAACTGGAGAATTTTTAGAATCGATTCGTATACACGAAAATTCTGAAGGTCATAGCTATGAAACAATGATTGGAAAATATTTCGATGGCGAAGTTAATGAAATCTATTTAGAAGAACCATATTTCCAGCAACTTTATCAATTGGAAAATTTCATAATATTTTTAGAAATGGCTGTCAAAAAGTGTCCCCGATTGAAATTCATAAAATTGGTTACGAATCGTGTACGATACGATAGTTATTTTCGAGATCTACAAACGAATTTACGTGAAAGAGGTATTGAACTCGTTGTTGATCGGGATCAGCATCTGCACGATCGAAAGGTAGCGTTAAATACGGGTATTGTTATAAAGATTGGTCGCGGTTTACATATTTTCAAGGCGGCCAATTCACCCTTCTCATTGGGTATAATGGATTATGATTTTCGTCGCTGTTTAAAAACTGATGTCGATATATGGCGTTCAGCAGCAAAGGCGTGATTTAAAATTTTACAAAATTCTCAAAAATAAAAAAAATGTTTGTAAATAAATCCATGGTCAAAATAATTCTAAAAGCTTCCACGTTTATGTTAATTTAAGAAATTGTAGAAGTTTTTGAAATAAAAAATTCGCGGAACTGGGATTAAAATTTTTTTCAAGGTTTCGCAATAAACATGGATTTTTTTAAATATTTTTTTTTTTTAATTTTTTAAAAGAAAATAAAAATAAAAATTTTTAAAACAATTTTTTCATGAGTTAAAAAGTCGTGGATTTTTTTTTAAATCATTAAAGCATGGATTTTGTAATATTATTTTTTCAAGTGAAATAGGCGTGGATCATAGTAGCATCGGTTGGCCATCACAGTCCTTCTCCGAATTTCAAAACGGATGTCATTCGTTTTATTTATGGCGGTACCAAGGTATATAAAGTCTTTAACTACCTCGAAGCTGTAGTTCTCAAGTTCCACAGTTGGCTTCGTCTTCTCGCCGTTTACTGCCAGGCCCACTTTGGCAGACTCCTTTTCAATTTGTTCAAAGGTGGCTGTTACCGCTCGCAATGTTCGACCCATTATTTCGATGTCACCGTAGGCGTAGGCGAGTAACATGTGTTGTTTGGTGTATAGAGTGCCATTTCTGTTCACCTTTGCGTCTCGTATGACCTTTTTCAGTAGGATGTTAAAAAGATCACACGACAAACTGTCACATTGTCTGAATCCTCGTTCGGTATTGGAGAGCTCCGTTAAGTCCTTTCCTAATTAAACTGCAGATCTTGTGCAACTTAAAGTTATCCTGCATAGCCGTATTAATTTTGCAGGAATGCCAAACGCAGACATGGCTTTAAACACCTCTGAACGGATAGGGCTGTCGAATGCGGCTTTATAGTCGACAAATAGGTGGTATGTGTCGATGTGTTTTTCGTGGGTCTTTTCCAGGATTTGGCGCAGAGTGAAAATCTGGTCAATGGTGGATTTGCCAGGTTTGGAGCCGCATTGGTATGGTCATTGTCATATGTCATTGACCATTGGCTTCAAACGTTCACACAGCACACTGGATAGCACTTTATATGCAATGGGAGGGAGACTTATTCCTCTATAGTTGGCACATATCGTCTTGTCTCTTTTTTAGTGCACGGGACACAGTATGCTGAGGTTCCAATCATTGGACATGCATTCATCTAGCCAAATTGTACTAATCAGCTGGTGCATGCTCCTGACCAGTATCTGGCCACCAGTCTTGAATAGTTCGGCTGGTAACCCATCGGCTCCTGCTGCTTTGTTGTTCTTGAGCCGATTAATTGCTTTTATAACCTCATATTGGCTAGGTGGTATACACTCTATACCATCATCTCTTATTGGTTCTGGGGTGTCCCCTTCACCGCTACTATTTGATACCAGAAGCTTTTCACAATGCTCCTTCCAGATCCTCAAAACGCTGTCTGTACCTGTCACCAGGTTTCCTTCTGCATCTCTACAGGAGGATGTGCCTGCACCAAAGCCTTCGGTTTGATGTTTTACTCGTTGGTAAAATTTCCGCACTTTATTCTGACTCTTGTACATCTCGATTTGCTCCGATTTTATGTAAATGGTGCGATTTCGTCCGATTTTATGTAAATGGTGCACCAAAGTCCCTATATATTGAGATTGTATACTTCGTCAAAACTCTTCGCATGGGAGCCACTGTCACTGTTTCACACCTCAAAAATTTATTTAAATTTTGCAAATTAAAAAAAAAAGCATCCAATGACCTTGATACAATTTAGCTAATAATTTGCCATATATTTCTAAATATTTCAGCAAAGGTTATCAACGGAAAGTCACCGACCAAAGCAGCCAAACACCCAAATTTTGGATTAGTCTTTAAACTACCCTAAACGAAAAACATGGGTCGTTCGGCATACATTCTTCTGGCGGTAATTTTGATATAAAAAATAAAAAAAATATTTTATTAAAAAATTTAATTCCAATTTTAGTGTTCACTAATTACTCTGTTCACTGGGGCATTACAAACACCAAGTCCCACAAAATGTCGTACGGAAATGTGTGCCCTGCAATTAATGGAGACCATGGACATACTCTATCGACAAAGCGCACATGAAATTTTCCAATTCCACAGTTATGACGATATCCAGCCGGAACTTTTGATATGGAAAGAATTAAAACCCTATTTGGATATAATGGAACAATTTGATTGGTCGAAATTTCAAAGTCCACTTTTGAGGAGGCAATTTGAAATTTTAATTCGTGAACTTACCCATACACGATACGCCACCTCCAATGAATTCATTGTGGCCACAAAACGTCTGAAGAGTATTGGTAAATATCGATTTATGTATCAACGTGATGCGGCCAATAAAACCCATCCACCACCATCGGATCTTGTCTCGTACATACGCAACATCAAACCGATTATAAGCAATAGTAAAGATTTGGATGAAATCAAATGGTATTGGAGTGAATGGCGTAATCGATTACCCGGCGATGTGAAACATGCTCTCAACGTGTATATTCAATATTATCAGAATATGTCCACAGTGAATATGCCAGCATCCAGTGTTTGGTATTCCCAATATGAGGATTCGAAGTTATTGGAAGAATTCGAAAATGTTATGGAAGCCATTGGACCTTTGTATCGCCAACTACATGGCCAGTTGAGGCAATCACTGTGGAATAAATATGGTGATGATATTATTCCTTCGACAGGACTCATTCCACATCATCTCATGGAACAGGCCTTCTATGAAGCCTGGAAAAAAGATTCTGTTTTCGGCAATCCTTATCCTGACAAAAAATTGCCCAATCTTAAACATGAATTGAATGAAAGGCGATATGTTCCATTCGATTTTATTACAACAGGTACAAAATATTTTGAAGGAATGGGATTTGATCGTTTGACTAAGTGAGTATTCGAATAAAGTGCTTTTTTTTAAATATTTTTGTTTTTCAAGGACTTACAAAAGGTGTGGATTTTTTTAAAAATACTTTTTTAACGACTTACAATAGGCGTGGATTTTTATGCCCTTCACCACACTGTGGTATAGGGTATTATGTCTATGTGCATATGTTTGTAACAGGCAAAAGGAATCGAGATAGACCCATGGTTCCTTTTGTGAATATGCATAGAATCACTTACTGAGTCGATTTACGCATGTCCGTCGGTCCGTCCGTGCGTCCATGTATTTTTGTGAACAAAGTGCAGGTCGCATTTATGATCCGATTTGGAATAAATTTGACATAGGTCACTTATTTGGCGCAAGGACGAACCCTATTTAAATTGTGGAAAATCGGTTCAGATTTAGATATAGCTCCCATATATATATTTTCGTAATGTAAATGGTGCACCAAAGTCTCTTTGGCACAGCGTAATGAATTAGGTCTAGAATGATCTGTGTTAAGTTTCGTGAAAATCGGTTCAGATTTAGATATAGCTCCCATTTATATTTTCGTCCGATTTAATGTAAATGGTGCACCAAAGTCCCTATATATCCCTCGATGTGCACGAAATTTGGCACAGCGCAATGAAATAGGTCTAGAATGATGTGTGTTAAGTTTCCTGAAAATCGGTTCAGATTTAGATATAGCTCCCACATATATTTTCGTCCGATTTAATGTAAATGGTGCACCAAAGTCCCATATATCTTTCGATTTGAACGAAATTTGGCACAGCGCAATGAATTAGGTCTAGAATGTTGTGTGTTAAGTTTCCTGAATATCGGTCCAGATTTAGATATAGCTCCCATATATAATTTCGTCGATTTAATGTAAATAGGCCCCCAAAGTCCCTATATATCTTTCGATTTGAACGAAATTTGGCACAACGTAACGAATTAGGTATAAAATGATGTCTGTTAAGTTTCGTGAAAATCAGTTCAGATTTTGATATAGCTCGCATATATATTTTCGTCCGATTTAATGTAAATGGTGCACCAAAGTTCCTATATATATCTAGATTTGCACGAAATTTGGCACAGCGTAATGAATTAGGTCTAGAATGATGTGTGTCAAGTTTTGTGAAAATCGGTTCAGATTCTTATATAGCTTCTATATATGACCAAATGAAAAATTAAGTATCGATTGCAGAATGACATGTTTATGGATCCAATTTCATTTTACTGGTCCTTTAAAAACGCGACGTCTGTTAGGATTCATCTGTTGAATATACCCAAAGTGGTGAAGGATATCATATAGTCGGCCCCGTCCGACTTTACTACTTTCCTTACAGATTTAAAAATACGGATTATGTAAACCTTAATACAAATTTCAGAAATTTATCATCATTATGGCTAACACGGTGAAAATGTGCCTCAACACGGTGAAAATGTGCCTCAAAGTGGTTCTAGACCCCATGTTTCTTTGGACCAAATCCGTTTCAGAAAATTTAGATTTCATCCAAACTTTGCCCATCTTATTATTTCTCCAAACTTAGTTCAAATTCGAAAATGGGAATATCGGTCCAATCCTTCTGGAACCTCCCAATAGAGACTAGGTCTAAATGCGGCTATAGTTCATTATTATCGAACCTTACGTTCTAATTGTTTATCTCGCTATCCTCCGCAGGTGAAATGATTACAACAGAGTCTCAGAACCAAACTCAAAACGCGGAACAAATCAGATAACTATTTTAATATAAAAAAGGGGGTTATATGGGGACTACCCCAAAAAGGGGGCGAATATTAAAAATTTTCGAAAGGGAGATTTGTTACCATATGAAACTACAAAATACCAAATTGCAGCAAAATCGATTGAAAAGCGCGCTCAAGAACCCCAAAATACCGAAAATTGCGGGTACCCTTATATGGGGGCTATCCGAAAAAAAGGACCTATACTCAACATTTTTGGTGGAGAGATTTGCTAAGCAATAAGAACTCAAAGTACCAAATTTCAGCGAATTCAGCTGAAAACGCGCTCAAGAACCCCAAAATACCGAAAATTGGGGCACCCTTATATGGGGGCTACCCGAAAAAATGGACCTATATTTATAATTTTTTGTGGAGGGATTTGATACCCAATAAGAACTCAAAGTACTAAATTACAGCCAATTCGGTGAAAAAATGCGGTCAAAACCCCTCCAAAACTGAAAATTAGGAGGTACCGTTATATGGGGGCTACCAGAAAAAGTGGACCTAAAGTTATAATTTTTAGTTGAGAAATTTGGTATCCAAAAAGAGCCCATTTTACCAATTTTCAGCGAATTCGGTTGAAAAACGCGCTCAAGAACCCCGAAATACTGAAAATTTGGGGGTACCCTTATATGGGAGCTATGCCTAAACGTGGACCGATATAGCCCATCATCGAACTTGCCCTGTCTGCAGACAAAAGACTCTATGCAACATTTTGGCGTTCTATCTCAATTCGTTTAGACGCTAGAGTGATTACAACAAACAGACGGACAGACTATATATACTTTATAGGGTCGGAAATGATTATTTCGATGCGTTACAAACGGAAAAACAAAACTAATATACCCTCTATACTATGGTGAAGGGTATAAAAATATTTAAAAAAAAATATTTTTTTCATAGGTTATTCATAAACCTGGACTTAAAATCCCGATTGTAACTATGAGGGAATTTCTTAAATTTTATTTTTTTCAAGTAAGGGGATTGATATTTGAAAATTTTTCATTTCCAGCCAATTCCTTCGTAAACATTTTAGCCTTAATCGTCATGGAGGTCCCGATTGTAAATCATCTATCTTTACGGCTGGAGAAGTACACCTGAAATATTGTCCGAATATTAGTTACAAAAAACTTCTCACCACTCATGGAGATATTACCCATATTGAATATGGAATTTTAAGAAACAATATGAGAGTAGGTCTTAATCAGGAAGCTTGTCCTGGTTTTGGTAATGCCATGGCTGAGGCTGTTATACTATCCGTGTCCACTCCTAAACATTTGCAACAAAATCTCCAACTTCTTACAGACTACGACTATGATGATGAAATGAATTTGAATTTTTTGTATCGAATGGTGGGTCATCTCGATTAATTTCATATTTTATGATAATAAATATTTTTCTTTCAGGGCATCCATGCTCTTCTCTCACTACCCAGCTATTTTGTGCATGAAAAGCTATGGGTTGACATACTTGACAAAAAGGTGACAGCTGAAAATATCAATTGTCATTATTGGAATCTAATGGGAAAATATATGGGTGTTGGACCATCTATGAAAACCAATAACACCTATGATATGCCCTATAAATTCTATGAGGGTTTGGTAACGGATGTCCGAAGTACCAAGTAGTTTGAAAATAAGAATATATTTTTCTGTTTTTTATTAATAATATTTTCTCTTCAGGAAACTATTTGGTGAATTTTTGGGCTATCAATTGTATCGTGAAATTTGTTCAGAAATTGGCCAATACCAAAAAGGAAATAAAGAAAAGCCTTTGTTTAAGTGTGACTTTGCCGATAATCAATATGCAGGACAAATGTTAAGGTAAGCTAAAGATAGAAGTAATTTGGATTTTTATTATTTATTTTTATTTTCTATTTAGAAATATGATGAATTATGGATCCTCAAAACCATGGCATGAAATCGTTAAGGAATTTTCATCGGATCGGCAAACAAAATTGGATGCAACTGCTTTGTTGGATTACTACGCACCTCTGGCTGATTGGTTAACGGAAAATAATGAATTGAAAAATATTACTGTAGGGTGGCAGCAGATCGATTGTAAGTGTGCTGCGATTATTGTTTAATATTTGATTAAATTTTTATTTTTTCTTTTTTCAGATTGCCAGTGACGAGCACCAATTTAAAAATTTTATCAAGATTTGGAGGAGGAATAATATTTTGAATTACTGAAAATAAATATGATTTTGAACCACTAATAAAAATAATAAAATATTTTATGTACTATAAAAATCAAAATTGTGTATATTTTTTTCAGGGACTACTAACACATACATAGGCGTGTAGGCGCAGCCGCAAAGCCGATATTATTTCCTTACAGGAAATGTGATGGAAAGGGACTGGGGTAAGTAAATTAGATGATTACGCCCTGTATTATAGCTGCCATGAAACGAGCCGGGAATTTAGCTGCGGATTTATGGTTAATAGGAGAATAAAATACCTCGTCTCCCGATACATTCCAGATGAGCGAATTGCCCATGATGATGATAAGCGAATTGCCCATGCTCCGACGGAAGACAAGGATGAACAGGCCAAAGACATTTTTTACGAGCGCCTAGAGACTGTATATGACCGCTGTCCTGGCCATGGCATTAAAATTCTGCTTGGAAATTTTAATGCAAAAATCGGAAGTGAAAATATTTTTGGTCCCACCGTCGGAAAATGCAGCCTCCACGAGGAAACATCAGACAACGGCAGCTTCGCGGCAGCAAAAAAAACATGATATTTAGCAGCACCAGATTCAAGCATGTCGATATACACAAGGCCACCTGGATTTCTCCTGATCAAGCAGCGAGAAATCAAATTGACTATGTTGTGATAGACGGAAGGCATTCGTCCAGGGTTTATACCCTTCACAACACTGTGGTACAGGGTATTATGTCTTTGGGCATATGTTTGTAACAGGCAAAAGGAAACGATATAGACACATGGTTTCTTTTGAGAGTATGCATAGAATCACTTTCTAAGTCGACTTATTCATGTCAGTCCGTCTGTCTGTCCATGTTAAATTGTAAACAAAGTACAGGTCGCATTTATTATTCGCATTAGATGAAATTTGGCACAGCTCAATCATTTGGCACTAGGACGAACCCTATTTAAATTGGGAAAAATCGGTTTAGATTTAGATAAGGTAAATGGTGCACCAAAGTCCCCAAATATATTTCGATCTGCAGGAAATTTGGCACAGCGTACTGAATTAAGCCTAGAATGATGTGTGATAAGTTTTGTGAAAATCGGTTCTGATTTATATATAGCTCCCATATATATTTTCTTCCGATTTAAGGTAAATGGTGCACCAAAGACCCTATATATACTTCGATTTGCACGAAATTTGGCATAGCGCACTGAATTGAGTCTATAATAATTTGTGCTAAGTTTCGTAAAAATCGGTTGAAATTTAGATATAGGTCCCATATATATTTTCGTCCGATTTAAGACAAATGATGCCCCAAAGTCCCTATATACCTTTCGATTTGCACGAAATTTGGCACAGCGTACTGAATTGAGTCTAGAATGATGTGTGCTAAGTTTTGTGAAAATCGGTTCAGATTTAGATGTAGCTCCCATATATATTTTCGTCCGATTTAAGACAAATGATGCACCAAAGGACCTATTCATCTTTCGATTTGCACGAATTATGAGAAGAATGAATTAAGAGTAGAATGCTGTGCGTTAATTTTCGTGAAAATCGGTTCAGATTTATATCGTCCGATTTAATTTAAATGGTGCACCACAGACCCTATATAATTTCGCATAGCGTACTATATTGATTCTAGAAAGGCGCGTGCTAAGTTTCATGAAGATCCGTTCAGATTTAAATATAAACGGGTATCTGATTGAGATAAAATTTTTAACAGTGCGGCGTACCAAATAGCGTATATCAATTTTGCTATAAATCGTTTTCAATAAATTTGTCACATGGTAAATTTATCATAGGTTGCAGAAAGATATGAGTATGTTCCCTCAGTGGGAACATTGACATGTAATTGTAAGGATACATATGTACAATATACCCGAAGTGGTGAAGGGTATCATATAGTCGGACCAGTTCGACTTTACCACTTTCCTTACTGGTTTAGACGTTCGATCGATGCGAGGAGCGAATATCGATTCGGACCATTACCTTGTGGCAGCCAAGGTTCGCACCGGCCTAATGTAGCAGCAAAGGTGCGATGTAACACGGAAACTCGACGTCGAAAAGCTGCAAACACATCAGGTAGCAGAGGCCTACTTCGCTCAACTTACTAACCTGCTTGACGAAAGAACTTCTTGTCCCGGTAATAGTATAGAAGTACAATGGCAAAGAATTGCCCACTCCCTACAAACTGCAGCAAAAGCAACACTTGGGTACCAAAAACCACCATCAAGAAACCCATGGTACGATCAGGAGTGTCGTAATGCTACTGATGTAAAAACGCAGCAACCCTGCAGACAGTAGCAACACGTATTGCGATGGAGAATTATCGCAAGAAAAGGAGAGAGGAGAAACGTATTTTCAGAAAAAAAGAAGAACGAACAAGAAAAACGTGAGCGTGAGCAAATCGAGATGTACAGGAGTCAGAATGAAGTCCGAAAATTTTACCAACGAGTAAAACAGCAAACCGAATGCTTTGGTGTAGGCACATCCTCCTGTAGAGATGAAGAAGGAAGCCTGGTGACAGATACAGACAGCGTGCTGAGGATCTGGAAAGAGCATTTCGAAAAACTTCTGGTATCAAATAGTAGCGGTGAAGAGGATACCCCAGAACCAATAGTAGATGATGGTATAGAGTGTTTACCACCTAGCCAATATGAGGTCAATAGCAATCAATCGGCTGAATAATATTAAAGCAGCAAGTGCCGATGGATTACCAGCCGCAATATTCAAGACTGGTGGTCAGATGCTGATAAGGAGCATGCACCAGCTGATTAGTACAAAGCATGCCCAATGATTTGAACCTCAGCATCCTGTGTCCCGCGCACAACTATAGTGGAATAAGTCTCTTTCCCATTGCATATAAAGTGCTATCCAGCGTGCTGTCTGAACGACTGAAGCCAATGGTCAATGACATTATTGGACCACATTAATGCGTCTTCAGACCTGGCAAGTCCGCCATTGACCAGATTTTCACTCTGCGCCAAATCCTGGAAAAAACCCACGAAAAACACATCGACACATTCCACCTATTCGTCGACTATACATCCGTATTCAACAGCCCTATTCGTTCAGAGGCGTTAAAGTCATGTCTGCGTTGGGCATTCCTGCAAAATTAATTCGCCTATGCAGGATAACTTTAACTAGCACAAGATAAGCAGTTATAGTAGGAAGGGACCACTCGGAGCCTTCTAATACCGACCTCTCGGAGCCTTCTAATACCGAACGAGGATTCAGACAAGGTGACAGTTTGTCGTGTGACCTTTTTAACATCCTACTGGAATAGGTCATACGAGAGGCAAAGGTGAACTGAAAAGGAACTCTGTACACCAAACAACACATGTTACTCGTCTACGGCGATGACATCGACATAATGGGACGAACATTGAGAGCGGTAACAGCCACCTTTGAACAAATTGAGAAGGAGTCTGCCAAAATGTGTCTGGCAGTAAACGTCGAGAAGACCAAGCTGATGGTATCAACGTGCAAGACTTCCAGTAGACTCGTACCAACAGTGGAACTTGAGAACTACAGCTTCGAGGTAGTCAAAGATTTTATATGCCTTGGTACCGCCATAAATAAAACTAATGACATCAGTTTTGAAATTCGAAGAAAGATAGGGTTGGCCAACAGATGCTATTATGGTCTGAGTAAGCAATTCAAAAGCAAGGCCACCTCTCGCCAGACCAAACTCAAACTCTACAAGACGCTGATACCACCCGTGCTATTATATGGATCCGAAGCATGGGTACTCACGCAAGCAGATTAAGAGTGTTTGAGAGACAAATTATCCCAAAGATCTGTAGGCCGATTTGCTTTGACGGTGAATATCACCGTCCAATGAGCTGCAGCGACTACATTGGCTGGGTCATGTTTTGAGAATGGATGAAGATGCCCAAGAGGCATATAAAAGCGAACCAGCTGATGGTTCACGCAGAAGGGGAAGGCCACGAATAAGATGGAAAGATCAAGTGGATGACAACATTGCCGAATATGATCTTTCGAACTGGAAAACTGCGTAAAAGACCGACGCCGATAAGCTCAGCTAAGTAAGTAAGTGGATTTTTTAAAAATATTTTTTTTCAATGACCAGCAATAGTAATGGACTTTTAAAATAATTTTTCAAACAGTTGTGACAGGCGTGGATTTTTTTAAAATATTTTTTTTCAAAGACCAGCAATAGACATGGAATTTTTTAAATATTTTTTCTAAGACCAGCAATAGGATTTTTAAAATATTTTTCAAAGACCAGAAATAAGCATGGATTCCTTTCTTCAAGGACAAGAAATTGGCGTGGATTTTTTAAATATATTTTTCAAAGTAACAATTGGCGTAGATATTTTCAACAGTAACAATTGGCGTAGATTTTTTAAAATTATTTTTATCAACGACCAACAATACTTGGGAGGCAAATGTAACCGTCAAATTTTCCCATATATGCAGCTTCAAAATATTTGTAGCCCAGTGTAATTTCCAAAATGCACTATCTAATTTCGTTATCACTGCAAATTATTATTTCATAAAATTTCTTCGAATTCTGACCTTGTCCATATCAAAGAAGATTGTCCGTGTCCACAAATGTATTATGCACCACAAAAGATTGGGAAACTCTGACCAAGCAAAGGTTATCACAAAACAATTAAATGTTTCGATTTGAAATGCTGTTTGATTTGGAATGAAAACGAAATTTTGAATTTAGTTTCAAATTAGTTGTGGCTGAGTTGCAAGCATTGTTTTTTTAACGTGACTGTCACAATGGCAAATCCGATTTGCCTTAAGGTAAAATTATAATAGAAATAAATTCGATGTTCCAAAAGGAATTAATAATTTCTCATATTTACAGGTCTTGGCATTCCTGACCCTCTGTTTCCTGGCCTCCGCCCAAGCTGAGTTTAAAGGCAATTGTTTCAATGAAACATGTGCCCGTTGGCTAATGAAAGATATGAACGCTGTGTATTGGGAAAGTGCCACAGCTTATCGTCAATTTTCCGATGATGTATTGAGTCCGGAAATTTTAATGCGTGAAAAATTGCGACCCTTTTACGAGACCATGAAACAATTCAATTGGCAACATTTTCAAGATCCTTTGCTGCGTCGGCAATTTGATGTGTTGTTACGTGGTGAAAAATATCCTCCCATGAATTATGACTTCAAACGGGCCACCAATACCCTCAAATCCATGGCTAGACAAAAATTTGTGTGCAATCGTAATAAAATGAATGCATTCCCCGGTCGTCGGTGTTCCGATATGGCCTTTGTGCATCATATCAAATCGATTATCACGAACAGTGATGATTTGGAAGAGATCGAATGGTATTGGGCTGAATGGCGCAATCGCATACCGACACAGGTGAAAGATGCTCTCCACTATTACGTGCACTATTATCAGAATATGTCAACACCGGAAATGCCTGCCTCCGCCATTTGGTATGATCAATATGAAGATGGGAATTTCATTGAGGAATTGGAAGAGTTGATGGAAACGATACAGCCATTCTATCGTGAAATGCATGCCCATTTGAAGCATGCCCTGCGTGTCAGATATGGTGATGATATTATCCCGGAAAGCGGTCTTATACCGCATCATTTAATGGAACAGGCCATGTATCAAGCGTGGAAGAAACAGAGTGTTCTACGCAATCCCTTCCCACAACGTAAGCTGCCGAATGTCCAACAGGAGATGGATGAATTGGAATGGTTCCCCTTCGATTTGGTCAATATCAGTTGCCGATTCTTTGGCTCAATGGGTTTTGATAATTTAACCGAGTAAGTAGGTCAGCCGATTGGAAAAAAATAAGAAGAAAAAGTTCGAAAGATTATCAGATGTTTGGACGTGGATTTTTAAAAATATTTTTTCAAGCGTTAAAAATAGGCTGTGTTTTTTAAAATTACTTTTTCAAGGGTTAACACTAGGCGTGGGTATTATGTCTTTGTGCATATGTTTGTAACAGGCACAATATGCATAGAATCACTTTCTGAGTCAATTGACGCATGTCCGCCCGTCCATGTATTTTTGTTAACAAAGTACAGGTCGCAGTTGTGATCCGATTTGGATGAAATTTGGCACAGTTCACTTATTTGGACCAAGGACGAACCCTATTGAAATTAGAGAAAATCGGTGCAGATTTAGATATAGCTCCCATATATATTTTCGTCCGATTTAAGGTAAATGGTGCACCAAAGTCTCTATATATCTTTCGATTTACGCGAAATTTGCCATAGCTTACTAAATTATGCCTAGAATGATGTGTGCTTAGTTTCATAAAAAATCGGTTAAGATTTAGATATAGCTCCCATATATATTTTCGTCCGATTTAGGGTAAATGGTGTACCAAAGTCACTATATATCTTTCGATTTTCACGAAATTTGGCAAAGCGTGCTGAATTAGGCCTAGAATAATGAGTCATAAGTTTCGTGCAAATCGGATCACATTTAGGTATAGCTCCGATTTAATGTAAATGGTGCACCAAAGTCCCTATATATCTTCCGATTTACACGAAATTTGGCACAGCGTACTGAATTAGGCCTAGAATGATGTGTCATAGGCTTCGTGCAAATCGGATCAGATTTAGATATAGCTCCCATATATATTTTCGTTTAATTATGGGTAAATTGGGCACCAAAGACCCAAAGTACTGTAGTTACTATAACCTACAGGGTGTCAAGTTTTTTTGAAATCGGTACAGATTTAGGTATAACTGTCATATATAGTTACGCCGATTGTCACACTATGTTGCACAACGTACCGAAATTAGAGTTGTCTAACGTGTTTTGTTTAAATCGGTTCAGATGTGGATATAGCTCCTTTATAGGTCAATGGTGGTGAAGGATATGATATAGTCGGCACCGTCCGACTTTACTACTTTCCTTACTGGTTAAAAATATTTTTTCAAGGGTTAACAATACGCGTGGAATTTTAAAAAACATTTTTCAAGGGTTAACCATAGGCGTGGATTTTAAAAATATTTGTCAAAAATAGGCGTGGATTTTTAAAAATAGTTTTCCAACAATTAAAAATAGGTGTGGATTACTAAAAATAATTTTTAAGATTAAAAAAAATTTTAATTTCACAGAGACTTCATGCGCGACAATTTCATTGAAATGGAACCCTCTGAAGGTGGCCCCGATTGTAAGTCTCGCATTTTCACCTATGGCGAAATTGAATTGAACTACTGTCCCAAAGTGTACTATAAAAAATTACTACAGACCCATGGCGATGTTACACACATTCAATATGCACTTTTGAAGAATAGCTATCCTGTGGGTTTGAATATGGAAGCTGCTCCTGGTTTTGGTAATGCCATGGGTGAGGCTATCATCCTATCGGTGTCAACACCGAAACATTTACAACAAAATTTGGGCCTATTGACGAATGTCGATTATGATGATATTTTGAATCTGAATCGTTTATATCGAATGGTAAGTAGAAGGCTTGGGAAACTCAATTTTTGGAATATATAATATTTTTCTATTAATTATAGGCAGTTCACACTATCCTGACCATACCCATGTATTTTGTCCACGAAAAATTATGGATTGATATGATCGATAATAGAATTTCGCCCGAACAATATAATTGCCACTATTGGAATCTAATGGCCAAGTATATGGGTGTGGGACCCACCACCAAGACTGCGGAGGGTGCCTATGATATGCCCTATAAATTCTATGAAGGAATTGTGGATCAAACAAGAAGTACCAGGTGAGAATGAGGGCGAGTTCTTAGTATTTTATTTTTCTATATGCACACCTATTGCATCCTTGCAGGAAACTTTTTGGTGAATTTTTGGGTTATCAAATCTATCGCGCCGTCTGTATGGAAATTGGTGAATTCCAGCGTGGCAATGCCTATAAAGTTCTAAACAATTGCGATTTTGCCAATAACAAACAAGCTGGTAACCTCTTAAAGTGAGTATTATTTTTTTGGCAAAACAAAAAAAAAAAAACTTTTTTGACTTACCCTCTTGTTCTTTGCCTTTCCCGCACGCACAGACAAATGATGTCGGCCGGCTCAACAAAATCCTGGCGTAAAATCATTAAGCCCTTGACCATACGAAATATTGAAAAGATTTCGGCCGTTGCCTTCTTGGAATACTTTGAACCCCTCAACACTTGGGTAACCGAACATAATATTGAGCAAAATATTCATGTGGGCTGGAAATATGATGATAGTATGACCTTGATATCCTGACTTTAGTGCCAGAACAAATATTTAATTTGGTCTCCATCACATTTTTTTTCATTTTTTTCCAGAATGTCAACGCTCATGATGATTCTTTGTATTGTGCCTTGAAGGATACAAAATCCATATTAGTATCCTGTCTTTGTCATTGTCATCGACAAATGGAGAAATCATTTAAGGATTTTCCTCGTTTTTTAGTTTGGATTTTGATTTTCTTCGATTGTGTTTGTGTGTGTGTTGTTGTGTTTTATTTTTCTATTTTGTTCGTTTATTTGTATTGATGATGGATAGTGAAAATAAAACAATCATTTGGTTCAAATATCAAAGGACAATTTGGTACGATTACAAAGGAAAACAAAACAAAACAAAACAAGAAATAGGACATGTGTAGATGAAGTCCTACAAGAGATAAAAGTTAAAGATTTAATACGAAAAAAATTAGGGGATTTTTTAAACAATATCTTTCAAAGACGTACAATTGGCGTGGATTTTGTAAAAGTATTTTTTCAATACTCATAATAAACGTATATTAAAAAAAAATTCAAAGACCTACAATAGGCGCGGATTTATTAAAAAGAAATTCAAAGACCTACAATAGGCGCAAATTATTAAAAATATTTTTTCCAAGGACTAAAATAGGCGACATTAATTCGGTACGCCGCATTGTTAAAATTTAATTTCAATTCAGACATCCATTCGAAATACATATGGAAGCTATAGCTGCATCTGCACCAATTTCAACAAAACGCAATAACATCATTCAGGTCTCAATTTGATACACTGTTCAAAATTTCATGTTAATCGGACAAACATTAGGAGTTTGGAGCATTATTCTAAACACAATTAACTCCACAATGAGAAATTTCGTGCAAATCCAAGAATATGTAGGGTTTTTGGTGCACCATTTACATAAAATCGGACGAAAATATATATGGGAGCTATATCTAAATCTGAACCGATTTTAATGAATCTTAGACTTCTAGACTTCAATCAGGAGGCCATGCCAAATTTCGTGCAAATCGAAAGTTATATAGGGACTTTGGTGCACTATTTACATTAAATCGGACAAAAATATATATCGAAACCCGAACCGATTTGCAAGAAATTTAACATACATCGTTCTAGGCTTAATTCAGTATGCTGTGCCAAATTTCGTGCAAATCGAAGGATATATGGGGACTTTGGTGTACTATTTACGTGAAATCGGACGAAAATATATATGGGAGCTATATCTAAATCTGAACCGATTTTCACGAAACTTAATACACACCATTCTAGGCTTAATTCAGTACGCTATGCCAAATTTCGTGCACATCGAAGAATACATAGGGACTTTGGTGCACCAATTGTCTTAAATCGGACGAAAATATATATGGGAGCTATATCTAAATCTGAACCCATTATTATAAAACCTAGCACACATTATTATAGACTCAATTCAGTAAGCTATGCCAAATTTTGTGCAAATCAAAGGATATATAGGGACTTTGGTGCACTATTTACCTTAAATCGAACGACACTATATATGGGAGCTTTATCTAAATCTGAACCGATTTTCACGAAATTTAACACACATCGTTCTAGACTTAATTCAATACGCTATGTCAAATTTCGTGCAAATCTAAGGATATATAGGGACTTTGCTGCACTATTTACGTGAAATCGGACGAAATTATATTCGAGCTATATCTAAATCTGAACCGATTTTAACGAAACTTAATACACACCATTCTAGGCTTAATTCAGTACGCTTTGCCAAATTTCGTCCACATCGAAGAATATATAGGGACGAAAAAATATATGGGAGCTATATCTAAATCTGAACCGATTTTCATAAAACCTAGCACACATTATTGTAGACTCAATTCAGTACGCTAAGCCAAATTTTGTGCAAATCGAAGGATATATAGGGACTTTGGTGCACTATTTACCTCAAATCGGACGAAACTATATATATGGGAGCTATATCTAAGTCTGAACCGACTCTGGACTCTGATTTTGTTTGAAAAATGACAAAATTTGTATTCTATAACGTATATAGGACATAAACGCAAGAAGTTGATAGTATATCCAAGAGGAGGTGTGGACCTTTAAATTAATACTGAAGAGGATCAACTCTGTTTTTATTCAAATATTATTTGCTATAGTATAAAAGCATACATTTTGTTAATCATTTAAATGCAACTGTTATTTACATATTTGAAATTAACGGTTATCTATGTAAATATTTTGTAAATAGTACTAAAAACTACATCTCTGAATCTACTACATTATTACACAACCAATACTAGACGAGGATCTTGCTTCTCGTAAATAGCACCTAAGCTCAATCAAATTTCAATACAATCGCTTCAATCCGAGTCCGGACCCCCGAATTCGTTTAAGCGAACACTGAAGGCTTAAAATCATTACCCACGCTTGCCCAAGTTGATGTACTAGATTATAAGCTGGAAGTAGTTCCTAAACAAGGAATAGCCAACATTATTGTAAATCGTGTTGTTTTGAGTTTCTTCACTGGCGCCCAACGTGGGGCAAGCCTCATTGAAACCCAAGAGTTTCTTCACTGACGCCCAAATCAGTGGCCATGAACTACGACCTATAAGTAAAAGCCGAGGACAACACCAACAAGTCAGACGGCCTCCTTTATAGACGCCCAACGAAGTGGCCATGAACAACGACACAAAGATTGAAAAAGGAAAATACCAAAGCAGATAGCGACGAGTACGTGTCAGGCAAAAAAGAAGATATGGCTGAAAGCCAATTCAAACAACTGATCAAGGCAATGCAGAACAACAACCGAACGGGTTAGTTTTCGTATTGTACTGGTTTTTTCGGGGGCAGAGAGATGCCGCCTCAGTTGAAGAATTTGTGACATCCATATCAGTATATAAAGGCATCTCAGACGCCGACGTAAACGGGTTGCAGCTGCTATTGGAGATCGTTTGCAGTTCTGTTCTAGGGGGAGAAGGCGTATACCTGTAGTATAAAAGCATACATTTTATTAATCATTTAAATGCAACTCTTATTTAAATATTTGAAAGTAACGGTTAACACAACCAATACTAGACGAGGATCTTGCTTCAATAAAATCGCTTCACTCCGAGTCCGGAAGTGGTTCGTAAACAAGGAGTAGCCAACATTATTGTAAATCTTGTTGTTTCGAGTTTCTTCAATACCAATTATATTGCCGTATGTACTCGGATGTGGGAGTTACACTTTAATATTTACAGGTGCTTACGTACTCAGATATAGAGAGCGGAAATGTAGCGCTGATGGCTTTAAAATTTTCCATGAGGTTCCAGTTATGGTCAAGGACAACGCCTATAACTAACTCGATGATGATCAGACCGAACACTTAATTTGTTTGTGTTTTTTCGAGTCGATCTATAGGCCACATAACCGAACATCACAACACAACCCACAGTGAAGGCAATCTGAATATTAGTCATATTCGGAAAAATGTATGTGTAAGGAAGAGGTGCTGTTGACCTCTAATCGGGCAGGAGGGTACAAATATCATGAAATATTGCCTAGGCTCGGAAAAAAAATTCCGCAGAAAGTTAGAATTCCGTGGTACTTGTGTAGGGTATCATATGGTCGGCCCCGTCCGACTATACTACTCCGCTCACTGGTTTAAAAATATTTTTAAGGCCTAAAAATAGGCGAGGGTTACTAAAAATTTTGTTTCAATGTTGAGAATAGGCATGGAAATTTGAAAAATATTTTTGCAATGAGTAAAAATTTGTCGGAACTTTTAAAATCGATGACAAAAAAGGTAGAAATTAAACAAATATATTAAAAATATGCCAAAAATTTAAAACTATTGTTTCAATGTTAATAGTAGACGGGAATTTTTAAAATATTTTAAAACCTTTTTAAGAACCCATAACAGCGACTGTTTTTAATATATATTTCAAAAGAACATTTGTTAATATGTATTTCTTAAGGTGAATTTTTAAAAAATATTCTTTTATTCAAGTACTTTCCAAAAATAACCTTAGATCTTCAAGGAAAACCCCTTAAGTTCATTTCCATTTTCTTGAAAGACCATTTGTATTGGGGGGAAATAAAGACCAAAACTGAGCAAGGATTACAACTTGTGGACAAAAACCTCCAATCTAAAATTTTAATTTAATTATTTAAAATTATTTAAATTTCTTTATTCATACAGTAAATATGTTTTCTATTCCATGACATTCAACATTTTATCGCATGTGGGTGAGGAAATAAAAAAAAAACACAAAAAAATGTGTGCTTCTCTGTGCAAATTATTTATTATTCTTCGACAACTATCCACAAGCTCCAGTCGCTGTAACTAAACCAAAAAACACAGTCCGAAAAGCCTTGATAAGAACCCTGCCATTGCCCATATCAGAGCACAGAGTGCAAAGCAAAAGCGTGAACAAAAAAAAGCACAACAACTTTAACTAGTTTTGGCATTTCAATTTTAGTCTCGCTTAAGATGTCGATTGCAAAGCATTTCTTTTCACTGAAATTGAAATGAACGAAAAGTACGGATAAAAAAAACTAAATCATAAAAAATCAACGGAGTGTTCGGTGAACTTCCAATCTGTTGGTAGTGCAACTTGGTATGGATAAATAAAAGAGACGCGTTTGATTTTTTTTTTTTTGCGAAAAATGAAAAAAGTGATGGAAAATTGTTCCTGGAATTGTTTTGTATGACGGATTTGTGCAAAACTAAGTATTATAAATTGTGCAGTGATATATATAAGATCCTTTGTGGAAGTTTGTGATGTGAAATAGAGATTACAGCGTGTTCATTCTTGTTTTTAAACACAAATGCATTGGATTGCAGCCACAGATAATTTGTGTCTTATCATGATGCCATTTTATAACACGATTTTTATCCCATTTTAAACCAACATTGTAGATATAGTAAAATAAATTAAAACGAATAGACACGAAACGTCGTTAAGTTCAGCCGAATTTCTAGGTGAGGAGTCTTATATAGTGACTATGTGGATATGCTATTAATGCAGAGTCATTTA